CAAAAAGTCATAAAACACTCTATATCTCAGAAACGAGTAAGATTAAAGGCTAAATATAGGGGTGTTTTGAACTCAGCTAAGTGTACTCTACCTCCCATTAAGCTGTGTCCGTTTAAATCTGAAACACCCTGTATATTAAACAATTTTGAAATCAATGTAATCCTACCTAAATTATGATAATTTAATTTGGGTTCTGCAGCATTCTCTAATTTCATAAAAATTTAATTGTTTGGCAAATTTGTAATATTTTTTAAAACATTCTAGGGTTGAATACAGTATTACCAAACCATTCTAAAATTGAAATAAAACACATGTTGTTCTATTTAAAAAATATGCCAGGCAAAAATGTGACACCCTGTATAGCCAAAAATATTTTTAAAGTATGTATTTTTTAAATCCATATAACTTTTCTTAAAAACTTGTTTGCGTGTCTTTAACACAAATTAAAATATTGAACAATTACGCACTAATAAGACATACACATGGGTATATACACATGGCAGTCAACGTATTAACTCAGAAATGAGCTTCCTTATAAAGATAACATTCAGCAGAAGAAAGCAATCCTGCAAATATTATTAAGTGCGTATCATACAGTGATGCCAGGTCATTCGAATTCAAATTACATCGGAATGCAATAAAGTTCCTTCCTTTTCCTGTATTTCACCCACTTTAAAATGAAATTCGTCCGAGAAAGAATTGTGAAATTACCGTATAAAACGAGAATTATTGTACATCTGGCAACGCGGCCAACACTTGTTCATACACAAGAAAAATAAATCGATAAGTTTGTAGCTGGAACGAAGCGAGACAAATATATATGAAAATACCACTGTATCACTGATTCAAAAATTGGTAACTCTAAACAATCATTCACCTATTAAAATTATGTCTAAAACAGAATGGCTACATTGTCTCTACTTGGTGACATCTTCTTAAAAATAAATGAACTACATAATTACAGGTATTCATAGAAAATCTCTAATTTGACAATAAATCTCTCAAATATTTGTTAATCGTATTTCCACTTAGATTTGGAAAATACCCAATAAAATACTTTTTAGCTCTGGTTATAAAACCACTTTTTATGATTTTTTTTAATTCAGTATATAAACAGGACAAATAAAAAGTAGTTTTTATTCTCCAAACATCATACTTTAAGCTGATAGAAGATTCATTTTAATACATTTAGCGGAATTTAAATGCAATCGGAAATGGTGAACCCTTATTTCTTATAGGAAAAATACAGTGAAACTGCAGCCTTAATATGTCTATGATTAACACGCGATATGAAATAAATAAAATTTTATTAAAAACAAGTGTCTACCTACTTTTTAACACGCCCTGTATAGAATGTAACCTTTAACTCTTTAACTAAAAAATCTGATGTGTCCAACACATGACCTTTCCTATCTAGTTATTATAGGCTTTTTCCGATTTTTTTTTTGTACAACCTATTGCAGCACCTCTATAAATGTTTAGAGGATAAACTAAATATATACATTTTCCCACATACATCTAACTCGAAACATTTTTTCTATAGATATTCATTGAAATCGAAAATACTGAAAAATTTTAATTTAGCACTTTTCCTTCAATACGGTCCATTTTAGAAAAATCGTAATAAAAAAACAAAATTTATAAAGATCGATATCACAAATAGCTTTTATTTAAACAATTTTCCTAAAAATTTTAATTTTATTATATTTTGTCAAATTTCTCGAATACGGACCATTTTAAAAAAAAATTGTATAGAACCAAAATTATAGATAATACTATTGTAAGTCATTTTTATCTTCTCCAAACATAAATACCAGATATATTCCATAAAATATAAAAACGGCCCTCCCATAAAGTACCCCCCCAAATGTTCCGCCTTTGTCCAAAATCTAATAAATTCACCTCTCACACACACACACACAACACACACACCACACACACACACACACACACACACACACACACACACACACACACACACACACACACACACAACACACACAACACACACACACACACAACACAATCACACACACACACCACACACACACACACACACACAACACACACACACACACACACACACACACACCACACACACACACACACACACACACACATCACACACACACACACATCACACACTACACACACACACACACACACACATCACACCACACCACACACACACACACACACACACACACACACACACACACACACACACACACACACACACACACACACACACACACACACACACACACACAGCACACACACACACACACACACACACACACACACACACACACAACACACACACACACACACACACACACACACACACACACACACACACTCACACACACACACACACACACACACACACACACACACACACTCACACACACACACACACAACACACACAACACACACACACACACACACACACACACACACACACCACACACACACACACACACACACACACACACACACACACACACACACACACACACACACACACACACACACACACACACACACCACACACACACACACACACACACACACACACACACACACACACACACACACAACACACACACACACACACACACACACACACACACACACACACACAACACACACACACACACACACACACACACACACACACACACACACACACACACACGACACACACACACACACACACACACACACACACACACACACACACACACACACACACACACACAACACACACACACACACACCACACACACACACACACACACACACACACACACACACACACACCACACACACACACACACACACACACACACACACACACACACACACACACACACACACACACACACACACACACACACACCACACA